ATAGAAGTATTTTTACAAAGTCACTTCAAATACACTTTTAAGGGCCTATTTTTCTTATTAAATTTAGGGTGTTAATATTAGTCATTAGATTAACTTTAATATAAAATTTAAAGTAATCTCGACCGCAAATAACAAAAGTCATTTTGTTTATCTTTTAAGATTTGAATTGTTAGCTACTTTATTATATAGATATTATGATAAGAATATACATCATAATAAGGATGGTGGGCCATATTTGAAATTTCATTTTTTTTTTGGTAAGTAAACAGTATATTGATAACCAATGAGACTATACAAGGAAGAAAAACACTTATCTGCCAAAAATATGTAGGACAAGAGCTAAAAACAAACAAAAAATAGGGGAAAAATCTGGGGAGAATGCTGAAAATTTACATTATTCTCCAAAGATTTAAACCAAAAAATATTCTATGTAATTAGGATAGAGTCATCATCATAAACAAAAAGAGAACTGGGTAGTTGCCATGAGTGAGAAATTCTTTGATTCTCTATGTTTTCCTTAAACTTCAACAACATTAGTCTATTCCTGACAATGTTGATGATAACTTGCTCGACAGTCATAGGATCCTTTTGCTAGTTCCTGAATATCCTTTGATTCCTTTCACTCCATAACATATAAATTGTGGTTGCAAGACAAAGCTTCTTGATCACAGTGGCAAGGCTCTTTCCCTTCCAATTGTGTGCTGACTGGATAATAAAATCTTGCCAAGGTAATTGTTGCTAAGACATGTGACATTTCTCCATAACATAATTCCAAATCCTTTCAAAGTAGGAGCAATCAAAGAATAAATGAGAGTGTGTTTCAGGAGCTATCCTACACAATACACAACTTAAATCCACACTTTGCATATAGTTATGAATGTGATCCTTGGTTGAAAGTCTACATCTAAAGGCAAGCCAAAGAATGAAGCTCATCTTTGGAATACATTGACTAAACCAAAGAAGCTTGCGCCAAGGAACAATAGGTTGTCTATACCTTAGTTCCTCCAGGGCAGAAGAAGAGGAGAAGGAGCCATTGGGGGTAAGCAACCATTTAACAATATCTTTCATATCAGGTCTAGGGGAGTAGGATGGCATGGATACCTCAATTTGCAGCAAGTCACTGTTGTTTCTAGCATTACCCCTGGGTCATCTCCATTGATTACCATGAATAATGTGGCAAACTTTAGCATTCATATTGAGGCCAGAATCATACATAATTCCAGGAGTCCATCTAAGCATTAGTGGACCAGTAAGATGCCAATTATCAAACCATAGTGATGTTTCTCTCCCATTGGCAATAATGTGGAGAAAGAAAGGTCTAGAAAAATCCCTTATCTTCAAAAGTTTCCTCTAATTCCGTGAACAAATGTGTGGGGGCTTGACAGTCCAGATGCTTCTTCCTTTCAGATAATAGTTTCTCACCCATTTAGACCAAATGTTGCTTTCATTATAAATTAAATGACCAAGGTGTCTAAGCATTAATGCCTTGTTCCAAGCCTTTAGATCCTTAACACCCAGACCACCGTCTTGTTTTGGTAGGCACACTTCCTTCCATAATACTTTAGCTCCAATTATCCTAAGCTCAGCTCCTGTCCAAAGAAAGACCCTTAGTTTCTGTTCAACATTGTTAAGGACACTCTTGGGAAGAATCAAGTGACTAGACCAGAAGATATGAGTATTGGAGAGGATTCAGTTGATGAGCTGTAATCTTCTTGCAAAAGAAAGGAATTTATAAGCCCATGATCTAATTCTTGCCTCAACAGATTCCACCAAACCAGCACAATCATTGACCCTTAGTTTCATAGTGATAATAGGGATACCTAGGTACCTAATAGGTAAGTTGCCCAAAGGAAAACAGAAACACTCCACAATTTGTAGCTGCAGAGCCTCAGAGGCCCCAGAAAGAAAGATATTGCTCTTTAGTGGATTTGCTTTAAGGCTTGAAAGAACTTTGAAAGTCTCCAAAGAAGTCTTCAACACTCTAGCAGAATTAATATCACCATGACATAACAAGAAAATGTCATCTACAAAACTCAATTGAGCAATTCTTTGTTTGCTGCATGAATATTTCTCACAATGATCTGTGTCAGAACTTCCATTCCAATGACAAAAAGATATGAGGACATAGGATCCCCCTGCCTAAGACCTCTTTGACTAGGAAAGTAACAAGCCAATTCACCATTAACACAGACAAAAACTTTGGTGATGTAATACATGCTTTAATCCAGTTGATCATTATCAGTGGAAAGTTGAGAGCAGCTAAAGTATCAATCAAGAAGCCCCATTCAAGCATATCATAAGCCTTCATAAGATCCACTTTTATTGCACACTTAGGAGGCCCATCATCCTTATGGTAGTTCCTCATAAGCTCTTGGACTAAGAGAATATTATCCCCTATTCTTCTTCCAGCTATAAAACCAAATTGAAAAGGACTAATAAGCCCAGGTAGAAATGGCTTAATTCTATTGGCAATGATCTTTGAAATAATCTTATAGAGGGTGTTGCAACAAGAAACTAGCCTGTAGTCACTCATAGTAGTGGGATTGTGCACCTTGGAATAAGTGATATGATTGTGGAGTTGATTTCCTTGAGCATTTGACAAGTGATAAAAAATTCTTGAAAAGTAGAAACAACCTCATCCCCAATAATAGGCCAAGCCTTCTGAAAGAAACATCCATTAACACTATCTGGACTAGGGGTTTTATTAGCATGGAGAGAAAAACATACCTCTTTAATTTCAGCACCTGTAACCTCCTTGTAAAGCATTCTAGCTTGATCCTCTGAGATAGTGTGCTGGATAAGGTCCCTAATTGTAGCTTGCATAACAGTAGACTGATGACCGCTACTTCTAAACAAATTCTGGAAATAATGGACTGCTTCATCTTTGATCTACAAATCCCCCTCAGCCATCGTACCATCCTATCTTTTGATAGAAATTTTCCTAGATTTGTTTCTATTGCTTGTGACGGCTTTAAAGAAAAAAGAAGTGTTTTGATCACCAGCTTTGAGCCATTGAATTTCGGATTTTGTCTTAAGAACTCCTCTTCAATTCTTATTGCCTCAAAGAATTTCCTAAGCAACTCCTTCTCTTGAGTCCTAAGATTAGGGTCCAAGGGCTTTTCATCAAGTTTCCTCTAGCAATCGGCTAGAACAATTCTTGCTTCATTAGCTCTTGCAGAAACATCACCAACCTGAGCTTTGTTATAATTCTTGAAATCATACTTCAACATTTTAAGCTTTTGGCTTACTTGGAATTGCTTTGTTCCCCTCACGTTATTATGCCACACATTATTGACAATATCAAAACAAATCTCTTCTATTAGCCAAAAAGTTGAAGAACTTGAATGGCCATTTCCTTGGTATTGCTCTCTGTCCCAACTTGACAATGGCAGGGCTGTGATCAGAGATTCCAGAGGTAAGAAAATCAGCTAAAGATCTTGTGAATAGCAAATTTCACTCCTCATTAACTATGACTCTGTCAAGTTTTTTAATTGTGCAATCCTAAGGGTTTCTCTTGTTACACCAAGTGAAGAGAACACTTGAGAAACAAAGGTCATCAATGCCAGAATTTTGAATACATTCTTCAAATTCATCCAGGCTTTTGTTCTTCTATTGCTCCCCCCTTCAATTTACTGCATACATCTTACCACATTGAAGTCACCCAAAACCGCCATGGTCTAGAAATATTGTTCCTAGCCTGAGACTATAGATTACTCCAAAGTTTCCTCCTTTCTCTATCATCATTGGCCCCATAAATGAAGGAAACAAGGAACATAATCCTACTTTTAAGAAGTTGAACCTCACAGTGAACAACCTGATCCATTTCTTCAATCTTGGTAATCTTGAGGATATTTGGGTTCCAACCAACCCAGATCCTACCAAGAATATGACTGAAATAATTATCAAAGAAGTCCTATCCTCTGAAGACAGCTCTTATAATGCTACCCTTATTAACATCCCTAACTTTGGTTTCAATTATACCAACCAAATCCAGTTGCTGTTCAAAAATAAGTTTTCGAACCACCAATTGTTTAGGGGGAGAGTTCAATCCCCTACTATTCCAACATGCAAAATTGATCATTTATGTCTTGGTAGATGGTGGCCTTGGGATGTAGAAATCCCCCTTTTACCTCTATTTGGTGACTTGTGCTTTTTCCTTAGTTGGCCAATTGGTATACCATCAATGTTCTTAATTTTTGTAGCCGGAACACTTGTTTCAGGAGAAGCAGATTTTTCCAAATCTAACTACACAGGACCTTGTAGTTCAATAACAAGATTATCAAATTTGTTGCTAGTGGTGATGTTTGTAGTTACTTAAGGAGCAGGGGTGGTGGTATGAAGCTCAGTAATAATAGTCTCACAGACCATCATCTGGTTGCTTGTGCTTCCGTTACAACACTTCTTTGATCAACCTTGTCACTCTCCTTTTCTTTGCCAACTTCAAAAGTGGAGGCTATCTCTTTGCCTTTGCCTTTGTCATTTTGTTTCTCTTTTCTTGTCCACACTTGCTTTCTTGCACAGTTTGTACTAGTGTGGCAAAAAACATTGCAATTAACACAAGTTTTAGGCTTCCATTGATATTGGACCATAATTTCCACAGTCTCCATAACTTGGTCAGGTTGGGAACCTTGCATTTTCAATTCAATGGAATCAATGGGAACTTGAGCAGCATCAATCTCTACACATACCCTAGAAAAGCTAATTCTTTGTTGTGTCTTTGTTAGCCCATCAGCATAAAGTGGTTTCCCAACTGCACTGGAAATATAGCTATGACCTTCTTCATTCCAATACTCAAGTGGAATGTTATAAAGCTTCACCCAAACTAGAACTTTAGAATGTGCTTCCTTCTTAAGAATCATTATAGGTTGCCATTTCTTGAGGGCCATAGTTCTACCATAGAATAACTAGGGGCCATCTTCTAGGACTCTAGTTCTTGAACTGTCATTAGAAAATTTGAAAAAGAAGAAACCTTGCTCATTAGCAAGCACCTCTATTAGGCCCTAAGCATTCCACATCTTTTGGGAAATCATCTTAATCACTGAAGGGCAAACTTTTTCAATAAAATAACCAACCAAGCTATTTTCCCAATTCTTACAACCCGTATCTGCAACCGCTGGTGGTGGAACCACCACTGCTTTGGACCCATCTCCTTGATGTTCAAAATATTTTAATTTCATGTGGTTGCGGGTTATAGAAGGAGCTCCATGACCCTGATCCATTGCAGTTCCTCTTTTCAGCACACTGCACCATGTAGCTTGTGTAGTCTTATCACACCTTTCATCAGCTGATGAGGGTATGGGGGTGGGGGTTTTAGTTGGCAAGCCAACCATACCCATAGGAGTAGACTGTGCTTGCTTTGACAGCATCGCAGATTCTTGGGAAGTGAAAATATCATGAGATCTCTTCTCACCTAGTAGCGTGTTAGCTTCACCTTCCATGTTCCTCCTTTTTGTTGAATCTTCTTGTGGTTGTACTCCATTTTCAAGAGTAGCTTTTACAGTCTTCCTATTCATTGTGCAAATTGTAGAACCATTTGGGATGTCATTAAATGTTGTTTCCCCACCATTAAGACCTGGGCTACATGGAAGCAATGATAAGGTTGAACAATCAGTAGGTGGGTAAGCTTCTGAAACTTTGGAGACTTCTGGGAAAGTTCCAGTGGGTATCTGGTCTAACATTTTAGATATGGTAGCTTCAGGTGTTTGGTTGGTTAGCATGGTGGGAAGGTATTGGAACGAATGAATGAAGGTTGCATCAGATTTGGGGAAAGGATGAGGATTAAGATAGTGGAAAGAGCAGAAGAAGGGCCACGATGAAAAACAAAGAAGGAAAAGGAGATCAATTGCAGAAGATAAGCGAAGGAGAAGACAGAAAAAGGTGGGCAGAAGCTAGGGATTCAAGGAGGTTGGGGATGAAGATGTTTCATGGCTTTTTACCAGTAAGGATCCAATTAATGGATTGTGCATCTATCAATTAATACAAATTTTCTAGCATAAAAACTGAGGGATGTTGAATATACCATACTGCTATAAATTGACAAAGGGTGATATTTTTATATGTCATATGTTATACAACTTTATTTTATTTTAACTTTAAATGTGATTATAATTTATATTTTTGTGACGAAAATAAAACCGTCGCCATAAATTTCAAAAATATTTTTGTGACGTTAATAATAAAACATAGCAATTTAATATTTTTATTTTATTTTAAATTTAAATGTGGTTATAATTTATATTCTGCGACGAAAATAAAAATGTCTTAATAAATTTTGAAAATAATGATTTGCGACGAATATAAAAACGTCGTGAAATAATGATTTTATTTAATATAAAAAATAAATTTATATTCTACGACGAATTTATAAAAACATCGCTAAAAAAAATATTCCTGATAAAATAATAAACAACATCGCTAATTAATATTAATATTTTATTTTACTTTAGTAACTAAAATTTACATTCTGCGATGCAAAACATAAACATCGCGAATTAAATATTTTGACTTTATTTTTATTTTTATATTTATTTTATATTATTTATGTTTGCGACGAATTAAAACAATTGGCGACCAAAAAATTTTGTCGCAAAAAATTAAAATATCAATTCCCGCCATTCTCTCACGCCAAAAAAAAAAAATTTGGAGTGAATAAGCTTTTCACGACGTCTTTTCAAATACATCGCAAAAAATTGCCAAAAAAGCAATTTGCGACAAATTTATGAAATCGTCGCGGATAGTACCATTTTTGCAACAAAATCAAAAATGTCACAATTAATATTTAATTCTAATTTAAAATTACAAAAATAAATTCTACTTTGCAACAAATATGAAAACGTCGCGAAATAATAATTTTATTTAATACAAAAAATAAATTTATATTCTGCGACGAATTTATAAAAATATCGCTAAACAAAAATTATTCCCGACAAAATAATAAAAAACGTCACTAATTAATATTAATATTTTATTTTACTTTAATAACTAAAATTAACATTCTCCGACGAAAAAAATAAACGTCGCGAATTAAATTTTTTGACTTTATTTTTATTTTAATTTTATATTATTTATTTTTGCGACAAATTAAAGCAATAGGTGACAAAAAATTTTTGTCATAAAAAATATCAATTCCCTTCATTTTATCGCGCCAATTTTTTTTTTGGAGGGAATCAGCTTTTCGCGATGTTTTTTAAAAAACATCGCAAAAAAATGCCAAAAAAAGAAATTTTCGACGAAATTATGAAATCGCTGCAGATAGTACACTTTTTGCGACAAATTAAAATTTGTCGCAAAAAATAATTATGTGTTTGCAACTAGCGCATCGAATTCATGCCGCATAGCCTGCTGCCATTCCTGTGATAAAATAGCTTGAGAGAAACTAGTTGGTTCAACAAGATTAAGCACACTGGTATACGCACGCACAGGATGATTAGAATCATAAAATAGCTAAAAATTTGGAAACTGTTTGGGATGAATAGAACCAATTCTTGTTCGAGTTACCATATGATGTAGGGGAGGATTAGAAATCTGATGAGATGGAGATGTAGTGGTACTCGGTAAAGGTGGTTCGTGTCCAGTGATGGCAACAACGTAGGACTTGATGAGGATTGTATGGTAGTGGAAGGGCTCGGTGAGGACTGTATTGGAGATAATGGTTGACTTCCTGGAATTGGATCAGGTAAAGTCTCGGGATGTAGTTGAGAGTAAAAGGGATTAAGATCAAAAGACATACCTGTTGTGGGAACATTTGAGGCCACAGGAGAACTGAAGGAGAACAAAACCCTAGTTGGAAAAATGTTTTCATCGAATGCTACATTAGAGAAATGTATGTGTTTGGAGACATGGGATCAAAGCAACGATACCCATGATGCTGTGAAGAATAACCAAGGAATATGTTTCTATGGAAAGCTAACTTATGCATTGTGTAGGGTCTTAACAATGGATAACAAGCACAACCAAACGTTCTTAAGAAAGAATAATTTGTTGTTTGAGCAAACAATTTAAGATAAGGAGATATGTGATATAAAAGAGGTGTAGAAGTGCAATTTATAAGATAAATTGCAGTCATAAAGGCATCGACCCAAAAATTTGTAGGTAAATGTGATTGAGCTAATAATGAGAGCCCAACTTCCATGATATGTCGATGTTTCCTCTTAGCTAAACCATTTTGCTGAGAGGTATTTGGACATGAAAGGTGTTGATGTATACCATATTTACGAAGAAAGTCTTGAAATTGATGGGAAAGATACTAACCACCATTATCACATTGAAGTTGTTTAATTGTTATAGAAAAACGATTCTCAACCAAGGATTTAAATTGCACAAAACATGAGAAAATGTCAGATTTATTTCTAAAAGGAGATAACCATGTCAATCGAGAGTAGTCATCGATAAAAAAAGAACATAATAACGATGACCTTCAAAAGATATTACAGGTGAAACCCAAACATCCAAATGAGTAAGTTTTAAAAGAGATAAAGTAACTTGAGTGGATTCACCAAACTATAATTGTTTGGCTTTTCCCATTAAACAAGATTGACAAACAGGTTCAAGATTACAAGATCCTAAAACTGGCAAATCAAAAGACTTGACTACACTTTTGGTGACTTGCGAGGAGGGATGACCCAATTTTGTGTGCCACACATCAAGAGTAGTGCGTACACCTACGAGAGCAACGCTTGAGCGAAACCTGTTGATAGTCTGCCAATCAACTTGAATAGGGTAAAACCCACCTTTACTCCGGCCTGTTAGCAACGTTCGTGCCGTGAGGTTGTCATGGACAAAGAAATTAGAACCAATAAGTACAAAATAACAAACGTGGTCTACACATAATTAATTAATAGACAAAAGGTTATATGAGGCTTGTGGACAATGTAGGACACGTATTAAGTGAGGGGTTGACCTAGTTGCATGCAATGTGAGTTTACCAGTATGTGTAATCTGTAAATTATTACCCACAGCTACTTTGTCATCTCCTTGGTATGGCTCGGTCAGGTGAAGGTTGGCTATGTCAGCAGTCACATGTTGATTTGCACCGCTGTCAACATATCAAGTGTTGTCACAATGAAGAGGATTGGAATGTGCGACCACAGCTGCTAATTGTTGAGGTGGATGTCGACCTTGGTAGTTGTGATCATAGTAGTGGAAACAATCCAATGCCATGTGATTCTTCTTGTTGCATATTCGACATGTATATGGATCGAAATCTGGATCATTTGCCCAGCAGGTACACATCCAGTGTTGTTAGAAGTGACATTGACATTAGATTAAGCAGTTTTTTGAGCTGGAGTCTCAGCATGATTAGGTCGTTGTTGTTGCCAGCTTTTGTTGTTCTTCTTCACATTCCTTCCTCCAAATTTGTTCGCAATCATAGCGAAATTATTGTGATCAGTTGCACGTTTAGCTACTGATTTTCCAAGAGTGCCTCAAAAGCAAGCAATTCAGAATGAAAATCAGTCAAAGATAAAGATTTTTCACGTTGTGCAAAGTAAATATTGGAGATGAAAGGAGTGTATGATGCATTGAGTCCACCAAGGATGTGTGAGATCAAATCTTCTTCATTAATTGGATTCTCTNGAGGATGTGTGAGATCAAAACTTCTTCATTAATTGGCTTCTCTATTGCTGCCCGTTGATCCACAAGATTCTTCATATTTTCAATGAAATTAGAACAACTCTTGCCTNCTATTGCTGCCAGTTGATCCGCAAGATTCTTCCCATATTCAATGAAATTAGAACAACTCTTGTCTCCTTGATGCAAACCTTGCAACTGGTAATTGATGGACATTAGAGGTTGAAGAACTAGCAAAGCGGTTTGCTAGTGCAAGCCATGCTTGTTGTGCAGTCTTCAAATCATAGACCATAGAAAGAACCATCTCTGAGATAGTAGACTTCATCCAAACCAGAACAAACTGGTTTTTACGACTCCATAGGGTAAAATCAGGATTAGTTTCACTGGTTTCTTTACCTTGAACAACAGGTAAGAATTCTTTTGGGCACGATTTTGTACCATCCACGAAACTCAGAAGATCATGAATGCTGAGAGCACCTTCAACTTGAGATGACCAATTCAAATAGGATAAAGGTCCCTCAAGCTTCACCAAAGCAAACTGTATGAGATTGTTTAGGGGGAACAAAGGCAACAGCGGTAGACGACATAATGTCAGACCGGATCGGGCTTGAGCCAATTAAGCTCTGATACAATGAAAGAATATTAGGAGAAGGGCTAGGCCAATATACAAAGCCTGAGCATGTTTTCCTTGTTTTATAGATACATCAAAGGTCAGAACTACAAATCATATAAACAACCTAAGGGAAAACTACAAAACAACTATACACTTATCAAGAGATAACTACGAATCAGCTATACATTTATCATGATCACTGGCATTCTTATATTGTAGAACATAATCCGCGGGAATTGATATAGGTACTGATATAGGTTGCTGAACACCTCCTTCTCTAATCTCTTGGATTTCTGGGGGAAGTACTGGCTCAAGGCCTATACTTCCCTTGGAATCCTAGTGCAAGACAGGATGTGGGTTTCTTTTTGTTTTTGTATGCATGCACATGCTGCATGCTCATGTAAATCTTTATGAGTTATTTGCTTGTACTACCGATCAACATGTGCATCTAATAAGCAAGTTTTGTCTCATTTTCTTATTGGGTATAGGAATCACCTGACACTATCACGTGATGCACCCGCTTTCTATTTTGGTGTA